TTCACTCAGCACCGGCACATTTAGGTGTATCCGTGATTACTGCAGTGTTTTGGACGCAACCACCACATTTTTATGTCTATATTTACCTCAGCTTCCTAGCCTTTTTTTTTTAACCTGTTTAAATCATGAATTGAGCCTGCATGTGCAAGCAGGAGAAGCAGGAGTGATTTTGAACACTACAGGTTTTTGATCTTAAATCCCCCTAAACAGGGAGGACTCATTCAGTCTCTCTGCAGAGTTGAACATTTGATCATTTTGGCTTGAAGATTAATTGGTGTTACACTCAATCTGTTTCAGGTGCCAGATATTATCAGCCTAATACCAGGCATCACAAGGCATCTAAAGCTGCTTTCCACAGGCAAAGCTGATCACACTGATTACTCACCCATTACATTTCTTTAGCTCTCTCTCTCACACACTCTCACACACACACACACACACACACACTACACCTATATGGACAGATGTGCACTGCATGGTCAGAGGACGTTGTGCTGTGAGCTACAGGGTGAGGACAAAGCAGTTATGGAGCAGGTCTATTTTTGGGCTCTTAATGGACTTGTTCCCATTCTCTAGTGGAGCAGGTCTAGCTGAATGATCTTCACCGGTCTTAAACCTGATTACAGTATCTCCTTCTGGGCTGCTCCATTGTTTTTAATTTAACTCTGCCCTCTTCTTTTTTTCTCTTTTCCTCTCCTGTCTCTTTGCTCCATCTTTGATCTCTCCTCCTCTCCACTCCATCCCCCAGGTTTGTCCTCATGCTGTGTTTACATTCATTAGATCATGTTAAATAGGAGGAGACGCAACATTAGAAAACATTCCTACTTCAAGCGGCTATTCTTCCGTCTTAAGCCTTTCCTCTGATTTGCTTCCATTGATTCTGCCAGTGCTGCTTTTTATGTGATCATAGTTTTGGCATCAGGCTGGGTAAATAAATGAGAAGCTTCCCTATCCCATGGTGCTGAGTTCACGGTGGTTGACTCTGTCAAATATCACTCATTCAGATGAGTAGATACACTTAATGGATTTGTTTTTCTCCGGCCCTGCTATCTTTTCCTCCCTTGTGCACATGACTCTCCAGTCTAGGTCTAGGTTTAGTTCTGCTTTGCCTTATCAAGGCGTAAGAAGTTCCTGTGAGGCAAAACATTTGACCACGTGCTTGCATCATGCTTCTTTTAAGCCTTGTTACATGATCAGCACTTTTCATATTCATCCGATTTTTTTTTTTTTTTTTTTTTTAATGCTAAATCAAAAAAACAAAATCAAAACATTATTCTAGAGAATATTCATTGACTAATGGAGTCATTAACAGGTTTATATCTTAGGGGGCTATCTTTTAGGCATACAGTATTCACTTGCTATTATCATGGCACTATATTTAGGCATCTTGCCAAGTCTGAGCCGAAAAACCTTTATGTCCTCTTACTAGCTTTGTTTCGAGCTTTCAGCAGCCTCTCACGGTCTACATCAGCAGCAGTATTGGCTCCGTTGACATAAAGATAGATCAGCCGTCACTATGTGGCGTAAGACCTTTGTCACATGGTAACAGGTTGTTGTGTTTGAATACTTGGTTCACATGATAACAATTGAGCTGACAACCGTCTGTTGAAAGGTCCAGAAAAGGCGAGTAAGGAGACAATAGTTTTTTTTTGTTGTTTTTAACACCACATTTTTCAAGGTGGAGACTTAACATTCACCTTTAACATCATGCCACCCACCACGCCACATTTTAATTCCTGTCTCTCAAAGAACAGCCACTTCCTTTCCCATATTCCCCAGTCCACTGCCTCTCTCTCTCTGCCATTCTCCTCTCCCACATCCGCCCCTTTGAGCACACCATTGCCAAGATCACCAAAGAAGATGAGGAGAAACTGTCTCTTTACTTGAGCTTACAAAGGGCAGATGGATCGCCAACCACAGCCTGTGACATTTTCTTTTTTCACTGCAGATTTTAGAAGAAAGGGCAGACTCCGAGAGAAACAAAGAAGTAGTATAAAATGAAATGTGTATCAACTTAGATTGAGGCAGAAAAGAGCAGCGCTCTGCTCGCTCAGCACTGTGCTTCTAATTCTCCCCATTTCCTGTCTTTGTGTCATCAAACCTTCTTGCTCTCCGCCCTCACAAGGTTGATTTTTATTTCTTCCTGACAAATGTCTGGGCAAAACTCTAAATGTAGATATTATGATCTGTTCCCGTTAGTGTGTGTGTGTGTGTGTGTGTGTGTGTGTGCGGACAGCCACCTCCTACAGGTAAATGTCCTGACGGAAAATGTTGTTTATGTGTGTGTGGTTTTCTGAGTCAGGACACAATGAGCTGAGAGATGGCTTAAGGGGAGTAACAGAGGGGTTCTGTTACTGTCCCTTATTTAGCTGTTAAACACGAATGCACTCCAGAGTTTTGACATTTAATGCCAAAGTAAAAAAAAAAAAAAAGTCTAATTTTCATAGCCTACCATTCTCTTTCTCCAGCATATTGCCTTCTCTTTCTTCTTTTGTCTGTTCATTCCAAGATAGTAATCCTCGAGTCTCCCTTTCTTGTGTCTTTCTTACAAAATCAGCCTTTCCTGCCGGGGTGGACAGCTAGACAAATGATTTTGTCGGTCGTGCAGGACAGGGGGTAATTTTTAGGTGAGCGCAGCGCTTCAGAAAAGACTTGCTGCACTGAAATTAGAGGTTGTCAAATGCCGCACGTCTCTACTGATGGCCCAGCACGGCCCCCTTATGTTAATGTGGCATTTCGGCAAGAGGAAATTAGGAAGAGGAGGGGTACTGCTGCTGACTGTTGGGTAGCATTGTCACATGTGCACACTTCTTCCTTTTATTTTCTCTTGTTATCTGAAGGATAAATGTTCCTGGATGCAAATAGCATACAGTGGATTTGCTTTTGTTGTGAAGGTCTGCGCAAATAACTGGTTTTCTAACTTACAGAACACTGGCTGCTCTTTCCCCATCATTTATGGCTCCTACACACATGCTTAGTCCACCAGTGGTCTGTTAAATAGCTCTTTGTTTATTAATGTTAGGCTGAGGAGACAAATGCAACAAGTAAGGTAGTGATATTCTTTTCCAGAAATACTGCTATTAGTGATCAAGCTGTGGATAGTTGTGTATGTCCATCAAGGAGTTGCAGAGATTAAACGTTGTGGTTAAAATACTCCTTAACCACTAGGCCACCATGTTAAAGTTTTATGGAGCTGAGCTTTTGGACACACAACTCAGTCTTTTGAAATGAACTGCCCTGTTTTTCATATTCCCATTACTCCCTGTGCTGTGCTTCCCTGATCTCCTCCCTGTACGCTGGGTCACTGCCAAGCCCCCTCCGTTCACACACAAAGCCTGGATGTGGCCTGAAGCCGCTGGTGTCGGTTAGGACTGATGTAATCTGTCCTGTGGGCTAGATACCACGAGGATGAATTCATCTTTAGGGAGGACTGGGAGTGTCTTTGTGGACCACAGTGCTGAGGTCATGTTTGGGAAAGGAGTTGCTCTGGGCCGAGTCTCCTGGCTTGTTTGTACGGTTCAGATCTGTCCCACAGGTTTTGTCCACACAGCTGCAGCCCAGATGTGTGTATGTGTATCCTTGTCAGTGTCTGTGAGCCCATCAATCACCCATTTGCCAGTCTTGTCATCAACAGTATCTAGAAAAAACACGGTTTCAGCTCAACAGGAAATCCCCACAAACTGATTCCATGGCTAAATCCAGCTCTTCTTTTTTACCTCCTTTTTAAGTCGTAAAAGTGTACAATTATTCTAACTCAAAACACAGACTAGAACTTCACTAAAACCTAATTATGGAAGTTTGCTTCACCTTCTAATTTAGTTTCAGCGTTAGGTTAAGGTTTAGAGGTCAGGCATGCTTTACTAAGGGTGTCTATAGTTGAGTGTCAGGTTCCCCAGCTAGAGTTTAATATAGAGCTCCCAACTGCTCAAAAGTCTCTTGAGCGATGGAAATGGTGCCTAACACCTGCCCCCACTTCACCCCACATCATTCCTCGAGGCCTCACCAACCGTAGCGTTTAGTTTCAGCGGCGTCACACTCGCACGCACGCTTTTGCAGATGCCTCTTTTTGGATCGCATATCGCTTACCCTTAACTGCCGATTAACATTTTGGTGCAGCAGTGGCATGACTGTATAGTGAAAACGTGGGAAGTTAGAAAGTGCGACAAGTGTGTGTACCTTTTTCTATTAATGGGTGTTACAGCTCCAGCCGCCGATCCTCAGCCAACTGTGACACACTCGCATGCACTGTATACACACAGGATAGGCAGGATGAATGAATGCTCCCTCCCAACCTGCGTAGCACAGCATTCCTCAGTGTGTGAACTTGTGTGAGCTATAGAGGCAGTCAAAATGGGGTGTGAATTAGAGGTGAACGTGTGTGTATGTGTGTGTGCGAGAGAGTTGGAGCGGAAGTCTCTGTTGGCAGTGTGTGTGTGAGTGAGAGAGGTCCATTAGTTTTATCTGACAGAGGGATCAGATCTGAAGGCATGTTGCTGAGCCTGAGCGATTCCCTGCGTCTCTTCTCCCCACCTGCCCAGCTGCTCGCACAGGCTACTCTATTAGACAACAGCCACTGGGGAGTACCCGGCAGAAAGGAAAGACTGTGGCCTTAACCCCTAAATAATGCAGCGTTTCATCTCTGACACATAGAATAACTTAAACACTTTTCACTGTTTTTAGCCAGAGCAGTTTGTTCAGAAAAATGCTGTTTCCTGCAGGTATTAGGAAGCACCCAATATGATTTTTTTTTTTGTACTCTCCAAAAACAAACTTACTGAATTGTTTGTCTATAAATTACAAACAACACTCAAGGCAATTGACACATTTGTTGGTTTTCTTTTCTTTTTTTTACAACAAAGATTTATATGCTACATTAAGCCTTTGCCCAGAAGTCAAAATCAATACGACAGTGATATAGCAAATACAAAATAAAAAAAGATGTTTGATTGTACTGTGGTTCTTCTGTTGCTTACCGTGGTGTACATGTTTGTGTGTTTCAGAGATCAACAGAGTGCGTAAAGACATGTACAGCGACACAGTGAATGGCCTTGTGGACAGACACCCTCTGGAGCTGCCTGAGCCTATCGGACCCATCGTCCACCTGCAGGAAAAACTGTTTGTGCCTGTCAAAGAGTACCCTGATGTAAGTAGTGGTTTACACATCTCACACTATGGCAGCTCGCTCACAGTGCCAGGTATATTAATGCATTAGCCTTACTTGTTTTAGGACTAATATTTACACTGCAACCAGCAGACAAACAGTTTCTTGAGGGGAAAAATACAAAAAAGAAAATAATTTTGCGCCACATAAAATTTGATGGTATTGTAGTCTGCAGAATGTTTGTTTGATTTTCCTTCTTCAGTTGGACTGTTGTAAGGGAACAAGATGTTCTGTTTTTTTTTCTGGAATTGTTTGTATCAATAGCTAAATCAGCAGCTGTAATTGATGCAGAGTTCTTATCTGTGCACATGTACCCACACATCCTCACGCCTTAGGCCATACATCTTTGTGGTATGTCATCACTGAGATGACAGCTGCCCTTAGTTTCTGTCAGCGCTGAGGACATACCTGTTCTTTCTCTCTCTCATTCTTTCCGTTATACATTCCTGCTCCCTCCTTATTGCTCTCTTCTCCCTTTTGCTCCTTTTTTCATTTATGGCTGGTAGACACACAGCTCTTGACTGTTTCAGTTCCTTAAATGATAGTTGCAGGACTCAGAGTGTGTACCAAGTTGTAAATGGACTGCCAGTAAAGCTATATCAGGTGGCTGTCTAAACTTGGTCCTGGTCTGAGGAAAACATGGCATGCTGGGGTGTTTACGGACCAACTCAGCGGTAGATTAGTGCGCAGAGAGAGAGAGAGAGAAGGATGGGATTGAGAGGAAGGAGTGTCATGAAAAGTAAACTGCAATTCCATTAATATTCAGTCGAAGCAGATGGAAATCTTTTGGTCTTACCACTGGCATTGGTTAGGGCTGTGGCATATTTTCTCAAATGGAAAGACACATTTGCATGTACACACACAGCTGGGAAAGAAGGGCACACCATGGAGCTATCATGCTGGTTGTAGAGATGAGGAGACAGGTGGCAACACTAAGGAGGCGAGTCAGTAAAAACCTTGTCTGAATAATGATGTGTGTGTGTGTGTTTACTATATGTAGAGCCCTGTAGTCTGTTTAAGGTTGTGACCACAGTCCGTCAACCACCTTCCTGTCCTCATGGTAATCTTTGGCACACACATGAATGGCTGTGTCACGTCTCGTGGAGCAACGTTTCTCTTGGTAATCCCAGTAGCTTGCAGCGAGGAAATGAATGGAGGGTGGTGACGAAGGATAAGAGACAGCGTAGAGCAGGGCAAGGCCCAGCCAGCCATGGATTGCATTTTCCCCCTGACAGAATTGATAAAGGGCACCAGAGACTTGCTGGGATCAGCTTAGCTCCAGCTGACCCTCAGTCCAGACCCAGCCTCTTGAGCTCAAGTTAAATCAACCAACCACAACCCCAGCCTTTCACCTTTCATCTTGACAGGATAGGACTGCAGCTTCTTGAACTGCCCCCTGATTAGCTGTGAGAATATATTTGCTGGTAGGGGCGCTTTTGCGTGTCAGTTACATTATTTGCAGTTTAACCCGTGCAACCATATCTGTTTGACATAAACACATGCATTACTTAAATACTCTAAAAACATCTTCTGGTGTGAAAGGGAGCTGTGGGAGTGTGTATATATGGTACCACTGACACTGTGTAGTCAATGGGTCAGGGTTTAAGTGGTCAACAAATTATTAAATTATTTTATTTTAAAGGGCATGTCTTATATTTTTCTAAGTAAAATAATCTTTTCTCTGTAAAATGTGATATAAACATATGAGGCCAAAACCCTAACCTTTTTGTTGTGATATTCCCTGTTGTGTGTGTGTGTGTGTGTGGTGTGTGTGTGTGGTGTCGGTGTGTGTGTGTGGAGGGGGGGGGTGTTTGTGTGTTTGTGTTAACCCTGCTAATGGCCATATGCATGTTATATACGGAGGTCTGTGAAAACGTGTGGAACAGTGGTTGCCACCTGTGGCTGTAAAGACAAATGTCCTCCCCTCACAACTCACAGACCACACACACAGACTCTCACACACACACACACACAAACTATTTGAAAGTGTGGCATCCTCAGATGACCCTTGTGTTCCCTTTGCTTGATTCTCACTGCTGCTCTGCGCAGAGCAGGGCTGTAACTCAGTATTGTGTTTACGAGCTGCCATGAAAGCTACTAAATTAATTAGGCTTCCCCCTGGTGGCGAAGATGACTCACTGATGACCTTAGTAGACAAATTTATTCACACACTAACATGCACACAAGGACGTGCAAGTAGAGACAAATACGCATTCATGATGGCACAAAAAAAGGCAAATCTTTCACTTGGACATTTTTTACTCTATCGTGGTACACACATACACACCCCTTTCACCAAGTGTGGTCATTAAGTCTGCAGGAAAACGAGGAAATGCCAGATAGCTTTGTTTTATGTAGATGTGATGATCGGAACCAGGGGAAATCAGCAGCAGGTCTAAATGGGATTATTTTTTTCTATTCCTACCTCTCCTACATAGATTATGTGCAAAAAACATATTTGTTGGCATCGACTGCTGCAGTCTAGGTGATCATTCACAATTACATTTGGTACATTTAAAAATTATATTGACCTTTTTCAAAGATTGAAAGTCAAAAGTATTGGAATGCTACCTGTGCATCTTCAAGTTATTCAGTTAACCCTTTTCCTACACTCCTTTGTTTGACCTTTGCAGTTTTAATCTATTGGGGTGGGTGGAGAGGAATACATTTAAGATTTTATTATTTGAACAGCAGATAAAGTGGGACTGTAGTTTGAGAATTGTTGTCTGAAGCTCCATGTATCGTTAGTGTTTCCAAAGAGTGGAGGCATTTAGTAGTGGGGTACGAGCGGAGATGTAGGATCAGTTTAAAAAGGAAGAGAGGAAAGAAATGATGAACGAAGGGAAGAAAAATGTCACTTCCTATCCCCATCTGCCCAGTGCTAAAAGGAGAGGAAACTGTAATGATGATTATTAGACTGGGGAATATTTTCCCCCTCTCACTTTTCCGTCTGATTTCCCAGATTCCCCCTATCGCAAAGGCATATGCGTGTGCGCTTGTGTGTGTGCGCGTGTGTCTCACTGATGCAATTCTAGGTTCTCCCAAGAAAGCAGGGAGTGATGGTCCACGTCTCTGTTTTGTGTTCTTGGCATCAGCTCACCTGCCATGGAAGATTTGTCATTGTTGATACTATTTCCCATCTTTTCCTTTCCACACTCCTCCTGTCATTTTGGGACACTCGCCTTCCCTCTCAGTTTCCACTTTCATTTAAAAGCATAACTCCCTCTTACCTTTGCCCACTTTATCCTTACGCCGAGGTCACACTGGCTCGATAGGGGCTTTCTCTGTCTCACCTACGTGTCCCCTGCTCTCGTTCCACCAGTAGATAATTAGATTGTCCTGGTGCCTGGATGCAGTGCAGCATGTCAATTCCACCAAAATAACTTGCCTTGCCAGCATGCTTCTACTCTAATTCCCTTAAGTGTGCCTCTCTTCTGGCCTGTGTGTGTGCGTGTGCTTGTGTGCATGCCCCACATCTGTCTGTAAACGTGTTTGTGTGTAGGCCTGTGTCTCTATCATACTGTCTGCCTGTGTGTCTGTCTACCCACTCCCTCACCGTTCCTCAAAGTCAGCCATTTCCTGATGTCGTCAGTGGTGCAGAGCGCCGTGAAGCGTCACCGTGGTGACTGCATCTTGACTGACAGCTGAGTCGGAGGCTATCTGATAACTTCAACCTTCAATTAAATGCTATCTGTGGCTCTGCTTTTCTCCCGAGCACACACTCACACACACATTGACTGACAGCTCAGCATGTCATTTCCGTTGACCTTCAGACATCTGATACGATGTGTGACATGTCTTTTAAGTTTGTGTCTCGTCTCCACTTTATTCCCTATGTATGTGTATTTGCCAACTGGTATGTGCTGTTGTGGGCAGGTAACTAAGTAGTAAGAAATGCTTAGGAGTGAAAACACACACTATGAAATGGGACCCTCAGTTAGACGTAAGCTGTTGAGGAACTGCTAAACAGGCCTGCCTGAACTGAACTTATATGCATAGGTCTGTAAAGAAAGACTGTCCAACATGCTGTTGGTGTTAATGTGGCATTAGTGTTTGTCTGGCGTTCGGGGGTGAGGGGTTGTCCTCGTACTTTAGGTTGTTTACCTCAGTAATGGAATCTTTTTTTAACTCTGCACCCACAATGTCCCCTCTTCCGCTCCACCTGTCATCTCCAAAATAAGGATTCTTAGAGAAACATGTTTTATCCCCCTGCAAGTCCACATTTTTTTGGTTATTAGTGTCTGCTTTGAAGGCAAATGAATCCATTTGAACACTGCAAATTACCTGTCTGCTTAACACAGCCATGGAGTAGTTGATCAATATAGGTTCTATGCACTCAGAGACATTTTTTGTTGTTCATCAGTGTATTAAAACTAGAAGAAAGGTCCTCATCAACTTTGCCTTGTCGTACAAATTTTAAACTTTAATTGCTGTCCGTCTTTTAAGTGCATATGCTTTACAGAATAAAACACTGGTAATTAGAACTTAACTGAGACTAATATTAAATATTAATACTAAATATTTGCTCAAATATTAAATGAGACACTTATGCAGTAAAAAATCAAGAGTATATTTGTGTTTTTCAGTGCTAACAATTAGGATTAAATTTAGTTTGCCTTTCAGTGAATTCTAGTGTGTGTGTGTGTGTGTGTGTGTGTGTGTGTGTACGTGTGTGTGTACGTGTGTACGTGTGTACACATGCGTGTGCTTTGACAGGCTTTGGAGAGGGAGGAAAAATTAGCTTCATTGGTCGATGGTGCTTCACTTCGACTGCAATGCACAAAGACTTGAGATACCAGAAAAAGAGGCTCTGGTGATTTGAGCAGACAGGATGTCCTGGACCTTTCTGTTTCACTGCAGTAAAATTGCCCGGACCAAACCAGCCAGTTCCCTGCACAGGGAAAGTCATTAAGCTTGTTCCCATGAGGGTGTCATCACTTATCATGCCAGCTCCTGATATCCTTCTGACCCCCTTAAGTCAT